TTGCGATACATAAAAATAGGATTACAAATTATGATATCTATGATATGAAAAGGTTGAACAGGTTGAATCTATGCACCATGAATTTCAAGGCACCGGCGTTACTGGCATTTGCTTTGAATCTTGTCTCCGTCTTAAGAGGGGAAGAGCAGATTTTTGTCGTTGCCGAGATGATCTCCAGATAAATAAACAAGTGTGTATATATACACATTTATATACAATATTTTTTTTTTACATACACACTATATTGATTTAAATTGCATATGATCGGTTTTGAGGCCATGCTAATTTATATAGATACGTGATAGATCAGAATGTAGGTTGTGGCAAGTTTTGGGCCATCAACCCATCTAGAGATTTGGGTCCTGTCATAATGAATCAATCGACTTGAACACCCTAATAAGGAAACCTACAGGAAATCCTCCAAAACAATGTTGGGCCAATGCTATATAAAACAATGCTTTCCTGTAAATGTTCCCCTTAAGCCAGTCATACTAGATCTTCAGCAACGCTTCACTCATTGGACTGGTTTTTATCAGATTTCTTTTACGGCAAAACCCTACATTTGATCGTACAAAGGCTGGCATCAGAGAATTTCCATTAAATCATCCCTTTGTGACTCAGCCCACTGCCAGGTCCAAAGGAATATTCGTCCTACATTGGCCGAGTGATGTACAATCGACGAAGCAAGCACCCGTCTCAGAGCTGGTAAGTGGATGTGAAGCTGGTGGCTTAAAGAAATGTATTCTAGTTCAAGTACTATATATCATTTATAGTTGATTTACTGTTTAAAAAAAAATGTGATTTTCCATAGCTATGTAACAAAGTACCAGAGGCTACTTGATGCAGAATTCCTAGAGGTGATCAATGGCGATCAGCAGATGAGTCAGCCAAGCATCATTTTTTTGGAATGGACATATGGAAAAACACACATCTACAAGTTGATATGCATTATGGGATATAGATACTGTACCCTCTGGTTATTCAACATAGCTATGGAAAATGGATGAAAATGGCCCATCGATTATGAACATGATGATTTACCGTTCTAAAAACTGGTGATTGTCCTGTTTGCTTCGTGAAAAATTACCCATGGGTGAGGTCCAAGGAACCCGGCTGTCCCAGGATGAATCCTTTGTACAACCAGTTCCTTGTGGTCGGCAAGAAGAAGGACGTCCACCGCCATCCGGTGGATGGGATTGATCCTCCAAGTATTCAGGATCATTTTAATCATTTTAACCGGTATATAAATATAGTTTAATATATATATATAGTATAATATTATATTAGATAAATATATATTGTAGGTTATAATATTTTATAAATTATATATATAATCCATATATAATCCGTTTCAGGGGTGGGCCCGTACCATGTTAGTTGTGGACCCTCCAGTACCGTGTCCATCAGAGTTGGACCGATGCACCGGAACATGGGCGCATTGAAGAAACGTAGTGCAACCAAGAAACATTGACAGTTTCAAATACTGTTTGGGTTGGCAGTTTCAAATATTTCTATGCATGTTTTCCTATCCTGACTTGACACAAGACTATGTTTGGGATGGGTCTAACTGTTTATCCCCCCAACTGACCAGCTGTGTCCGCAAGTACAATATGGGTCAACGCATGGCAGGCCACCGCACTGCAGTGGATTTGGGGCATTTCACGTCACTGATTACTGTATATGTTGTTCTACACGTTGGGTGTTTCCCAAAACAGTGGTACCCCAAACCATTGGCTCACCCCTGAAGGACAAATCACTTGGAAAAATGTTTCGTTTCCCCACTGAAAGCCCCATATCTGTGAAGGTCTGAAATATTCAACGGTCTCACTTGAGGCCATGGACCTTCTGGAGCTAGGTGATGGCTACTACCAATAGGGGGGAACCACTTTGTGGTAATTGAGCTGATTGCTAAGTTTGTGAACTATAACCTGGTCGGTGGTTTGGACCATTTTTTATTTTTCCATAATTGGGAATAGTAATCCCAACTGACTAATATTTTCAGAGGGGTTGAAACCACCAACCAGCTATTGTAGTAAAACTGATGAAACACACGGGGTATCGTTCAAACTCAATTGGTATACTGTGTTTTGGGGGGATGAAAACATCCAGCAATAATATCATCAGCAATAAATTGATGTGGATACCAACAGATGTTGATGGATTTTGACCGCCGCAGAAATCCACATTGGAGGTATGGCAAAAAAAACATAGGGTTCTTTATAGATCTTCCATGTTGTACATGGATTTCCCCCATATTTGATGGTCAAAAACCATGGGTTTTCCTCAGGACGAGCCTGCCCACTTGATGTACGTGGATCATCAAGGAAAAGGGACCGGGATGTATTTTCAAGGGAATGTAGCAGCAAAGACACACACAGAAGTGATAGGAAAAAAGCAATATATATTATATACATATCATACACATAGGTTATTTCATATATAATTACATGGTTTTAAAAATGCGAAAATTATAGTATTATAATAAATGGATACACATATAATATATGTCACATAATTGTTTATATAATATAATATGTGTAAGTTGTAATTGCATATCCGGAACCCATCTACGTGGCCCCGCTTGGGACAAGGAACTCCCCTTTTTGTGGTTCAGCCAACACATCCGCAGCATGCAAACATTGGCCTTCTTGCAGGGATCACTGGATGCGCATGGATGCGCCCTGTACGACGTTTTTCTCAAAGTTCAATGGTTGAGAATCATTGTTGAACTCAACAATTGGATAGGGGGGTTTGTTTCCAGAGTCTCTAGTTTCAATCCAAATGCAACAGTGGATCTGTGCTGTGATCAAACTAGAGCAGTTGCTGCGCCTTCCATCCCTTTTTTGGGAATCATTAATCCCTTCCACCAACACACAATACCTCTCCAGAAACCGTTTTGTAGTATGATTTAGTACAGGTATTGGATCTATTTTGATTTCCCATATGGGGGGCATTTTTTCTGGAAAGGGATATCCCCAGAACTCGCTGCTCGGTGATCTCGCAGGAACGGCCTTCGAGGAGGACTTCGTTGCGACCGGCTTCGGAATGCACTTGGGGATGCCAGATCTCTCAGCGATGTGTCATGGTCAAGCTGATAAGCTGGACATGTTTGACTTTACCAAAAGGGGATGAGAATCCATGGGAATCCTTGAGAGCGCTGTGCCCTAGAAATCTGAACAATCACATGGTCCAGAAATGGAGACAACCCCTTTGGATCCTTAAGAACCTCCAAGCTGGTCCAGAGCTCCTCATTAACCAGACGAGGTTTTGTGGCCCGCTGAAGCATCCCATTTTCGGGGCCAATTTTGGCCATATCATTTGGATGACATGGAGAGACCTCCCGATGCCACCATGGATTCTGGTTCATTTCATCTCATTCTCGCTTCAGCTTGGTACATTCTTTGCAATTCAGCCAGATGATATTCCCATCAGATTCACATCGTTCTCGGATGTTTTTCCTTTAGATGCTGCATGTTTGATGAAGTATCACCCATTGATCTGCTGATATGGAGGTTTCCTAAAATGGGCGTACCCCCAAATCATCCATTCTTATTGGTTTTCCAATGTTTTCCATGTTTTTTTTCCATGTTTTCCATTATAAACCATCCATTTGGGGGTACCCCCATGACTATGGAAAGCTCCACCCATCAGCTGCTGTGCGTGCCTGGACTCCAGGCCCCTTCTCCGTAATAGTTGGCGTCCCGACTTGAGCCGGAGCTCTCAGTGGGCCCCATGGGCCCTTGTCCCCTATCCTTTGGTAATCTAACATACCTATATATACCTATGGAACATGGCCCGTTTGTAGATGATTGACCTATTAAAATCGATTCAACATGCTGGTTTTCCTTAGCTATGTTTGGAGTGGGGGGTACTGTATCCAATATTAGACCAACACTACGGGATTATAAGGGGGACGACTGTATCCGTGTTTGGGACAAACATAGTTTTAGGAAAGAATTCAAACGAATTGAAATTAGGTCTTCAACTGCTAGATTTAATAAGCACCATGGAATAGGAGTACTGAACTAATAAATACGGGATTTAGAGTCGAGCAACAAACATCAAACTTGGACGATAGAATCACTTAAATGCAAGTATAGCCAACAACAGATCATACATCCCAATCCTGTCCAGCAAACAAGGGACTACAACAATTGTGGGAATGCACAAACAAAACTAGACCGGTAAGACGGTAAGACCGGTAATGACCGGTATTTGCTTAACACATACACCAACCGCCAGTCATTCTTTCGTAGAGGTTCCCACCTATTATGATGGTCCCTCATGGGAGGAGCGTTTGCCACACCGCACCGCTGGTTGAGGTCGCCTTGCAAGCTTCGGGTTGTAGTAGTGGTAAATCCCAAGTAAATCCCAAGTTGTAGTGGCTCAATCACCATGTTGTTAAAGTATGTATGTATACACACACTTATTGCACACATATATTTTAGATTATATCATTGTATCATATCAAGAGTTTTACATAATAAGTCAGTATATGTAAACATATGTATAATATATATATATATTTGTATGTATGTATATTATATATATAGCATATATAATTAGTTTAATTGTTTATAATACACAATATAGTATTATATATATGTATACACATAAATATAATATATTTTTTGTGCATTTTTTGTGTATTATACATAGATTATACATTAACAAATGATACTCAAACTTCGCCGATTCGGCGCTTCGGATCCGAGCCGCTCCCAGCCGCTCAAACGGCTTGAGGTCTGGACGAGGCCAAGGAGTTGGTTCAGAAAGTCCTGGAGATTTGCTTCTATCGCCACCTGGCATCGGAAAACCATGGAAGATGCCCTTGGAACGATTGTTAGTTTAACATATAGCTAATAACTATGGTTATTCACCAGATAGATAGATAGATAGATAGATAGATAGATATTATATATATATATAAATACATATTTAACCAGATATACAGTAAATGGGTTATAGCTATGGAATATACTTCGAAAGTGGTTCGGAACCATGATTATGAGTTTTTTCAGCCATTGGTTTTTATGACAAGCCGCTGGGGACTTAGCCATTGACGAACATGGGCACATTAAACTGCTCTGCAGTTGGTTGGTCCAAGGTATTCTCAATGGGCTCACCCCAGCTTTGTTCCAGCAATTTTTGGTTCCCTTAGAATCCCTAGGAGTGGAACAGTTTGGGCACGGACTTCAATTTCCTTTCCGAAAGAGTGCCGAAAGAGCGATGGGATCACAATGGGATCACTGAGGCGATTGCAGGGCCTATTGCAAAATTCGTATTGGAGTATGTACTGGAACCTCAGCCCGGTTCCCTCAGCCCAAGTTCATCAAGTTCGCGACGTCGCAAAGTTTGTCATGTCGTTTGTTGAGAGGATTAGAGCAGATTATATACTCATACTTACAAAAATCCTACCAGAAAGTTCTGACAGGGAGCTGGTTGATCATCACCTGCATTTTTTTTATGTTCCTAAGAAGAAATCAAAAAAAAGGCCACCACGATCATGTCCATGTATTCTGCTATATATGTATATAATTTTACGTAATAAGTGAAGGGTATATATTGGCAAGCATGGTTTATCCTCTTAGTGCTTAAAACATATGAAGAGGCTGCTTCGTTGTGCAACTTGATGAACTCAGTTTCATCATTCTCTTTGGGATACGGTGCATTCATTTCTCAGCTAGTGAAGTGATAGAGGCCCATATCTGGAAGGCAAACTCGTGGGAACTCTTTGTTGAGGACCGGACATCTTCCAGGAGTGACCATTTTGTAAACATATCACAGCAACTGCAATTGCCAGATTTTCAATAGCTAAATCATACATTTTTTTTGTTGGGAAAATATCTCGTTGTATTCCCCATGTTGTTTATTGGAATATTATCCTAATTTATCACCAGAACATCCCGTGAATTCCGATTAATCATCATGAAATCCCATGAAATCTCCATTTTATTATTAACCTCCCATTAATCTCCATTAAATAATGACTAATGGATATTAATATCCCATGAAATCCCATAAAAAAATGTATGTTTCCATACATCCCAAGTGTTGCCCAGCCACCAAATCTTGGTGCTCAGCCGGCTCAGCCTCCCCCGAGGTCGATATTAGTGACCCCATCCCGCTGAACCACTTCTGGGGTCCGCGACCGGATGGGATGGGATAGAGACGTGGCCCCAAACATTGGAAAACTGTATATATGATGCCAAAAGGGTGCCAAAAGGATGCCTATACGCTGTAAATATTTGTATATATATATATGTGATTATATGTTAATTTGTTAAAGACACACAAATGCATATTAATACACACATGTATACAATGTATGGATTATTATGTCGTCTATTCTATAGATATGTGCTCATAAAGCTTGAAGTGTGTGGTCCTTGGGGTTTAGCTTCAACATGATAGTGTAAGAATGCGGGGGCCTATTAGCCAGTGACAGAGAGAACGTAAGCTGCAAAGGGGGGGATAGCCAGGAAAAAGGAGGATAATAACTAATCGATCTATATCAAACTCGATGTGGCTCAAAACCTGTTGATCCCAAACAAAGACAGTTTTCATGCTATTAGTGACATCACATGTTCTTCCACAGAATATATGTATCAATTAGATTCAATTAGCAAATTGTTAGTGCTGGCCGTATCCGACACTGTATTCCGTGACCAACCACTGTATTTACATTCCTTCAATAGGAGACCAGACTTGTTGCTTGGACACCCCAGAAGGTTTGGTGAATCGAATTGTTTGTTGGTTAGAGGATGACTCTCTCTTTGTGTGTTAAAATCCCTATGTTTCGTTGGTTGAATTGACTCACATTCTTGAGTTCGATCACATGTTTGTTGTTCCGTTTTACTTGTTGTTGATTAACATAACTTTTATTTTGTTCTTGAAACAAAACAATAGATATGCTAACCACTATGATTACCTGCTCTTGATCAACAAAATCATCGTTTTTTACTTGCTCTTTGAACCACTATGCTTTCCCTTTCCCTTTCACGTCCCCGAGGCCACAACGCGTGGATCGAGAAACGCCTCGAGGTGCGCCTCAGAAATCCCAGGTTAAACGAATGGTACAGTGGGGTTGTGATTATTATACCATTTCAAGTGGTCAAGCATGGGTTCAATGGGAATTCCAGGATCCTAAAATGAAGGTACTGTACCATATAAGGCGATATTTTCCGGGGATATTCCCTTACATAGGCCTTACATAGGCCTTATATATGGTAGGTACCTCCAATCTAGGATCCTGAAATGGCCACTGATGGCTGGTTAACATGGTTTAACGATCCTGAAAATGGTGGTGTAATATAGCCCTAATAATCCCTAATATAAATCCTTAAATAATCTGTAACAGTAAATAGCCACAAATATGAGGCCCCAGAATTTTCATAGGGTTTTCTGAGATATCCCAAAATTGGATGGCCCTGGATCCTGAAAATTCTGAACAATCAGCCGCCCCAAATATTCTAGATCCTGAAAATGAGCTGCTATTTATGCCCCATGATGGGTCGTCGATTTCTGAATTTGTGGTTGAATATTGGGATTCATGGGTTGCGAACCACTGGCTGCGAAATGCAAACTCCTGTTGTGAAAGACACGAACAGCACCTGGTCAAAAGAAATGAGATCATTACTGCATCAATTGCTGAAGGATTTCACATCACCCTAGATTTTATAGATGTTTGTTCCCGAAGTGCCTCAGATAACATGACCTCCCACCTCTGACGCCAGACCACCAATGAAACGATTGCAACATGGTAGAGGACAATGGCTGAGAAGTGACCAGCACAAGTCACACTGGTCTCCGGAGTCGAGCACTTTCAGCAATCGCAGATTGATTCCATGATGTCACGTGGTCACAGTCATTGTCAGTCAAGTGCTACTTAGGATAGGGGAAGCCACTAAAGGACCAACAAAAACGTGGAATTCAGGATCAGGGAACAGAACAAAGAAAGATGGGACATGCAGATGTTGGTGTCGAAAGGATCCATCCAGTGATATGATCGCAATTCGTACACTTTCGGTTGTTCCTGTTGTGCACGGCGTGGACATCGACACCCAAGTAGGGGTACAGGCCCGAGAGCAACTGCCACGCGGCGCCAAAAAACCTTCATGTTCCAGTGAGTTCCAAGTATCTCCATTCCAGCCCTGCTCAGCTGCTCCATTCCATTTGGTTTTTGACTTGTTTTAGTCACAAACTTTGGACTTATCCATATACACTTATATTTATATTACTTTTTAGAATTACAATCTTTTAGTATTTAGTACTACATCCTTGAACGTCGACCTTTTATACACTGTTTTTTTTGGGGGGGAAGTCCCTCCAAAAGACGGGCTGACTGAAATTTTGTGAAGACAATTTCTTCAGCGGCTCATCGAAATTGACCTCCAAAAAGATAGAGTTTTGAATGGTCATCAAATGGTTGATGTTTCATGATAATCTTATTAATATTGAACATGTATGATTCAGCATTTATGTATTTACATACATATATACATATACGGTGACTGTAATATATATATATATATTGTTTCTATATTATATACTTGTACCCTTTTATTGATATACACGTTTGGTCATTTTGGTGTCTGATTCTGTCGGGTTTGGACTCAGAGAGGCTGTCTGAGGACCGCTGTGGTTCCAGCATGTTAGCAACAGATTGCCATAGTACGCCATAATTATATGTGAATGGCATGGAATACCCTGACCACAAACACAATAAGTGTAACTCTATATCATACTTTATATAAATATTATATATATATATATATTTTTCAATGTTTATTTAATATCTATGGTATTCATATTCCATGATAGAAATTCAAATCTTCCTGTGTGTATTCCTCCGGTCACCTCCCGTGGATCTCGCCATTCGCCTTGACCCGGTTTCCGACCTTCAGAAGGCCTGCGGGGTCCGTGGATCCAAGCACTGCCATGGTCACATGGGTTGGTTTCCCGTCTTGGGGAATGGTCATCCATCTATTCGCTTGGGAAAATTACCATGTACCATATAGATGTTTCCTAATAATAGAAGGTTTTCCTAATATGTATCCCATATGGGATGAAAATTCCCCATAATAGAAGGTTTAGATTCATTCTGCTTGGAATTCCAATATGGGATAGATTAGGAAAAATATGGAAAAATGACCATGTACCACCTTTTGACCCTAGCGCATACAAGAATCATTATTGGATTCGTCCGAGTTGTATATGAGATTAAAAAACCAGTCATATATATATATAATTATATATATATACATACATGTATCAGGGTCATTAACCACTGGTTGTCGGAAGAAGGCAGAATGGCGATAGAAACAATTTGGTCAGCGTAAAGCAATAAACAAGCATGGGTCTCTCAATGAAACGCGAGCACTGTCCAAGAGAGCTGTACCAGGTTGACGCGAACGAGCAGAATCTGTTCAAAAAATGTCAACTAACCAACGTTGAAGTGCCGTGACCTTGGGGTCATCGATATTCATCACCTTGGCTCTGACATAACGGCGGCTCAAGGTGACAATGCTTCACCGGTAACATAAATCCAAGCGGCTTCTGCCACATCCAAGGCCCCGGCCCCAGATATCCCAAGCTTCCGGGGATAGACAGGCAGAACCTGGGTTCCACCAGACCAGGAAGACCTGAACTGATTGAAACCCATAGTTTGAATAGGGGATATGGTGCCATAGTTTGACCAACTGATCAGTGGTTTTTGAAGTACATCACCATTATATGACCAGTATATAATGACTATAATGTAACCATTGTGGATTCTTGGGGTTTTAGAGTTTCGGACCCAAAAACACTCAACAGCGAACGCTTGACCCTTGCTGCGTGGGTGATCCTTCGTGATCCCCCTGCCATGGCATGGCTTAGACGGCCAGATGCTGCTTGGAACTGAGCCAATTGGGTTTGGGATTGTACTACTACTACTCCTCCTCCTCCTACTCCTACTCCTACTACTACTACTACTACTACGACTACTACGACTACGACTACGACTACGACTACTACGACTACTACGACTACTACGACTACTACGACTACTACGACTACTACGACTACTACGACTACTACGACTACTACGACTACTACGACTACTACGACTACTACGACTACTACGACTACCACTACCACGACCACCACCACCACCACGACTACTACTACTACTACTACTACTACTACTACTACTAGCACTACTAGCACTACTAGTACTACCAGTACTACTGCTACTACTACTACTACTACTGCTACTACTACTACTATTACTACTACTACTACTACCACCACTACTGCTACTACTGCTACTACTACTACTACTCCTACTGCTACTCCTACTACTACTACTACTACCACCACCACCACCACCACCACCACCACCACCACTACCCCTACCACTCCCACTCCCACCGCCACCACCACAACCACCACTGCCACCACCACTGCCACCACCACTGCCACCACACTGCTACTGCTGCTGCTGCTGCTGCTGCTGCACCCACCACCTACCACCTATCACCTGCTACATACTACCTACTATCTACTATCAAATGATTATTTGCTACTCTATCTACTCTATCTACTCTCTCTCTCTACTCTCTCTACGCTACTACCTACTACCATCTACTACCTACTACCTTTGACCTACTATCTACTATCTACTACCTACTACTAACTGCTCAAGGATATATACAGTATATATATATATACAAATATATATATATATATATAGAGTACTGATAAGTATATAGTGCGAATCCTTTCCCAATAATTCTCAATACCCCCAACAAGGGATCCAACATGAATAGATGCAATACCAAATGTGGGCTGAAAAACGGGCAGTTTTTTCCTTGTTGACCAACCAGATTTGAGCGATGTTGGAGGGATTGAAACATGGTGAATTCATGTTCGTGGTCAAGGTCTTGACGGTTGATTTGCCACCGTTTTTGCCAGACGTCGTTTGATGTGAGGGCAAAAGTAGTAATCATATGTCACCATTATGAAGCCACCGAGCTAGAACCGGTTTTTGATGAAAAAAACTGGAACCTCTACTACAAATGCAGGACAGATGACGTGTTGCATCTTCCGTGGTCCCTTCATGGGATATGGGATGACATGGTTTTGTGCTGAATAGATTCCTTTTGAAGGCGTTTCTAGGGAATTTAAGGGGGTACAGTCGAGTATATGTCAACATAATAGTTGTTTAGAGAACATTTTACTGTACCAACATATCTAAATTAGTATACATATATATAAGATTTTATAAGTATTTATTTCATTAGTATTTGATTTTCTGGGGTTGCTTTAAGATTATGTCACTCTGTATGGCACCTGGGTCTAGTTTTTGGGTGGTTTTGGATCGGTAGTAGCTCACAGGGGACGGAACTACTGTAGGGAGCCCATTTCAACGCTGCCAAGGCAGTTCTTTTCCTGTGCTCCTTGTCATGTGACATGCAACAGAGGCACCTGGGACCGGAACTGCTTTTAGTTATAGTTAACGAGTTCACTGCGACCGAACCCTGGAATCATGGTGTTTATAGGGAAAGCATCCCCAAATTGGCCGAACTCTTCAGGTTCGTGAAATCTTTTCTATAAATTACCGATATGGGAGATGATGGGAGATGTGGGACATGATGGATGGGGATACCAAAGTTATGGATATTTCTGGCATGTTTCGGGAATGAGGGTCCCATGCCTTGCAACTGGGACGAATCACAGCTTCGACTGGGACTTTCAGTTGTGCTGATGTGGTCGTCCCAAATGTGTGTTCTCAGGGGGATGACTTTCGAATCTTTGGATGGTCAAAAACGATGCTGAATTTAAGGGAGTTGGAGCTGTCAAACCACCTCTGACTCGCCTTGCTCAAACCCCAGGTGCTGTAGGTTGGTCGATTTTCACCATTTTTCACCCAACCATAGGTGTGGGCGGTGTGGGTATGAATGGATGATGTGGGTGAAAGTGATCACCTTCCTTTGATTTTTTTCACATTAACAGTGTTAATCATTAACAGCTTCTTTTTTGATCGGGGATTTCCCATGTTTGATTACCGGCAGGGGTGGGTCCTAGTTCGTTTGCGCGGGAAATACTGAACCATGTAATAAGATGTAATAAGTACATTCTGAGGCCCGCAAATTAGCAACGACCCCAACTAATCACCCATTTTGATCCACTTTAGATAAAGTATATGTTAGTTGGGGATAGGATATCCAAGTTCATGTCAACCCCGGATTAATAAACCATGATTTATTAATTAGGGGGGTACCCCTCCAATAGTCATAATATGATACTTAAATGGTACCCTCCCAATTAAACAACCTAGGGGTTTATTAATCCAGGGTTGACATTATATATGACATATCCCCAGTTATGTATCGAAAAAAAAAAACAATTGGGCAGACATAGATGGTCGGTAATGTCCACCGCATCCCAGGCGACATCTTTGAGATTGCCGCAGCTAGCTGTCACTGCGGCGGCGATTCCATTGTGACAGCTCCCTTTGAGGCGACAGAAGAGGAGACAACTCCCGCATGTCGTCGTGGCCAGGCTGCCCGCAGCTAGACTCTGCAATGGTAAGCCATATCATATTGGTTTCCAATGTTGCGTATATAGTTATATATATATTATATATTACATAGTTATTATATGTTAGTGTATATATATTATCATATTTTACCACGATATTTTTCTTCAGCTTTGCAAAGAGTAGATCTGCAGGGCCTACCGCATCAACCGTGGATGGTGACCAAGCAAATTCACAAGCTCGAAAAAACGATGGATAGAACTAATGATAATACTTGTAGGCTGTTCAGAAAGATTCATGCAACAAGCATCACAAGTTTAGAAGGCTTAATCACCCTTCCATTGATATTTTACCCCAGCAATTGTCGTAAGTCGGCTTGACCTAGCGTTTGGATTATGCATTCAGATGTGGACCCCAGAAGCTCATGTCAGGCGAATTTGACCATGTGGACCATGGCCGGACGGGTTTCTGGATGTTTTTAATGTTTTTGGATGATCTCAATCCCTATATCTTACAGATCCTTCAAGAATGGTGAACATCCAGCTAGCAGTTGAGTGGTGAGCAATTGCAGGAACGGGCGCGTGCCCACGACCTGGGGAAACTTCGAAATGAGCTACAAAGAGACTTGGCGCAATCGTTTCAACGTGTTGCAATCCCGGTTTTTCTCCATTGGGGGAACAATGCAAGTGATGGATTACCGGTCATGGCACCCACAAAGAAACCAGGCACTTCCGACTGCCGCACCTCTATTGTTTTGGTCATTTTTCAGGAGCCAGGTAATCCCTGAGCATAGTCAGACTATCAGTCCATAGCAGTTTGGGAGATCATTTGGGAGTCGGTATGAGTCAAAATTGAGGTACTGGTGGACATCAAATTGGTATCATTTCTTAGTATTCTTTTTCGGGTCAATAATTTGAGCCGTACTCATGTTGATTTCCAGCGACGTCTAGCCTGGTTGACCAATTTGTGTTGTTTGAACACAAACACTGTAATAATGCAGAAGCAAACTTCAGAAGTGACAAAATATCCATGATCTTGTTTACCTTGCCAGGTTTGATTTTGGCATGTTCCTTGTGTCATTTCAGGTCAGGTTGGTGGTGTGAAAAGCATGGATCCCACCTGTTCACTGTAGCCTTGATTCATTGGATCTTCCAGATTTTCCACTTTGTATATGCACTTTCTCTGGTAACTGTTGTGTATTTGCCCATGATGTGTTCTGAACATGCTGAAATTCTATGTCAATAATAGCCTCATCTGGTTTGTGGATCATCTCCGAACGGGAAAGAACCGTGGATTTCCATGGCTGCGCGTTAGTTTGCTGAAGGATACATCTAAATCACATTGTTTTTTTTGTTGTGGTTAGACTCCAAGATGATTAACTAACATAAATTTAGGATACCCTCTGGTAAACTAACATAGCTATTGAACATGGCCACTTATAGTGGATTTACCCATGAAAAATGTTGATTTTCTATTGTTTTTTGTATGTTTACCAGAGGGTAATTGGGATGTAAAAGCTCTAATCTTTTTCAGTTGAATCCCCAGTGGGAGCGTCCTGGATAGTCATCCTGGAGTCGATAGTCAAAAAAAAACATCAATAACATGGACATATTGAAAATCTCATATTCTTCTCCTTCAGGATGATAATACACCAATATACATATATATATATACACATATATATATACATATACACATATACACATATATATATATATTATTTATATATACCCACCACAAATCCACGTGTATATGTCATATCCACTCATATCCACTCATATACACATATGAATCATATGAACTTATATAACTACCCCAAAAAAAAGCTATGCTTCTTGTGATCAACGGGGCCCCAACCTCCAGGTTTGGCTGGTCAATCCAAAAGCGAACGTGTGGACTTCGTGGACTCCACGCGCTCGCGGCACCGGGATCTGAGTTTGAGCCGTGCTGCCTCGGAAGGCGGGGGAACATGGGGCCCGACCTGGTTTTTTGGGGGCATGATGAGTTGATCTTGATTTTGTATGTATGTAGCATTGTGTAGTTAGTATTTATATATATATACATAGAGATGACATCATGTAGATACAGAATAGTGGAATTGTGAATGTCATTAATACTAGAAATAGTTTGTTGTTTAATCATGGAGCTTTGATACCTGTACTTTTCTCAGTGAGAAGCGGTTAGAATTGTGGATGCTAAGCAGGGACTTCTGATGTTTTGCATCAAAAAGCAGGCGGTGCATCATAGATTTGTCTATTGGAGTTAGTCAAGGTCACATTATTTCAATTTACCAGAAGGTTGCAAACTGTTGTTGTTCATTGCATATATATATATACATACATATACATATATATACATGTAGTTCTGTTTTTTGTATAATTGACAACTGCATAAAGTTGTATACAACAGTATACTTATATTTTATACATAGATAGACTATCAGATCTGTCAGTTTGTTTCCCCCGTGATAGGTTGGATGAGTTCCTCCGATTTTAATGGTTGATAATTCATAATATGTCCATAGAATTAACACCAATTGACCAAAACTAAAAGGGTTATTAAATCACCCAATTATAGATAATTGATTCCAGATAAATCATGATAATTCATGAGAATTCATGAGAATTCATATATATATATAATGATAATTCATAATTGGTGAAAACATTGATTGTTTTCTCTTATTGGGGATGGTTATTAATCCGTTTTGATTGGCATGTGTATACCGATTCATTATGATAAAATTCCCAATATGGGATGGATGACCATAAGCCATTCATCTCATGCAACTTGACCATGGCATACCTGGCAACCCTCAAAAAGATCAAAAAGCAGTGGTCAATCTGTCATAAACTACTGTAACCTGTCTTATCTTTAAGGATCAATAGTGCCACAACAATTCTGCAATAATTCCACCATAATTCATAATACTTCCACATGCTTCCACAATTGTTGATCATAAGATTCTATAGTATTGGAAATCGCTGGGAATAACTATAGTAGCAATCAACATCATCATCATCATCATCATCATCACCATCATCATCATCATCACCATCATCATCATCATCATCATCACTAATATTAATAAATGTTCACTATCATTATATATTATTTTTACTACTATATATATACTACTATTATTAACATTTATTATGATTCATCATAGTTACTATTAATAACATTATAGGCATGAAATAACATTATTATTGTCATCATCATCATCATCATCATCATCATCGTCATCATCATCGTCATCATCATCATCATTGCTATTATGTTTTAGCGCTGATGACAATATTTCATTTGTGTTACTATTAATAACATTATAGTACTGAAATAACATTATTATTGTCATCATCATCATCATCATTATTACTATTATTATTAAGCGCTAATGATAATATTTCATTATTGTTAGTATTAATAACATATTAGGAATGAAAAGAACATTATTATTATCATCATCATTATTACTATTATTGCTAAGCGCTGATGATAATATTTCATTGTTATTCTATGAAAATATTATGGAATAATTATATGAACAATAACTAGTATTATTCATAATACTTCCACATGCTTCCACAATTGTTGATCGTAAGCTTCTATAGTATTGGAAGTTGTTGGGAATATGTATAGTAGCAATCAACAACATCATCATCATCATCATCATCACTACTATTTTTATTATCATTACTATTCTGGTCGGTGGTTTGGAGCATGTTTTTATTTTTCCATATATTGGGAATAATCATCCCAACTGACGAACTCATATTTTTCAGAGTGGTTGAAACCACCAACTATAAACATTATTATTATTGTTATCATCATGATCATCATCATCATCATCTTCATCATCATCTTCATCATCATCATCATCATTGTTACTATTAATGTTTTTTTAATCATCATCACTACTATTAATATTATTATTCATATTTTTATCAATATTATTATTAATATTTATGTTACTATTATCATCATTATTATTATTAAGCACTGATGATGATATTTCATTACTATTTGATTTTCATTAATGATATATATATATTGTATTACTTATTACAAACTATCGCTATTATCATTATTAATAAACTATTGCTATATATTATAATATAGCTATTAATAATGATAATAGATGATAATAGTAATTTAGTAATACACTTATTGCCTATTTTTCCAATCAAAATGGGTGTATGACTAAATGGGTGTTATTGAAAATCAGATTAATATTTGCACCCAATTTATTAATATTGCTATATTACCCTCTGGTTATTTAACATAGCCATGGAAAATGGCCCATTTATAGATGGTTTACCTATTAAAAATGATGATTTTCCATGGCTATGTTAAATAACCAGATGGTATATATTATCCATTATAAACAGATTATTAAACAGATTAATAGATATTAGTAATTACTATTATTAATAAATTATTGCTATATTATATAAACAGATTTTCCCCATTTTTCCACCCTCAGCGATGCCTCGAGGTCAGGAGGATCCAACTCCATTGGCCAACGCCGACACCGAGGACAGCAACGAGGAGTCGCCCTACGTTCTTCGGTGCCTTGGGGCGACGGCCTTGACATTGCCATGGAAAATGTGGGGAAACCCCATGGAAAGTCTGGAAAATGTGGGAAAAACCATGGGAAACCCATGAAAATCACATCAATTCACCATTTTTCATGGGTAAATCATGGAAAATATTGGAGGATCACCTTTTTTTGTAGGCAAATCATTGAACAAATGGGCCACCTATACCATGGCAAACTGTTAAATTACTTGAACTTCACCACATGTTGATTGATTTGTATTGGTCGAGTTTTATCATCATCTACCATGTTCTGTCCAAATTTGGTTTTGATTGGTTTAGCTCCATCCAATTTTGGGATATGTAATGGTGAACAACGCGCAAAATTTGATTATATTGTCAGTAGATGTTCCTTGATTTTCGGGTTTCGAAAGGTGTTGAAGCAATGATAAACTGGGTTCGGCAGAAAAGTTGGATCTCTGTAAGAGTCTACTATCACTATTCTCTTATCCAATGAAAGTGGTCGCTGGGTGATCCCGCACACAGTCAGGTCAGTACCAGCTGTCCAGCCCTGTAAAAACAACCACTTGGTCCTTATTTAGCTTAGGAAGACACAGGAACACACAAATATTTAATCATATATGACTCATGACTATATAATACTATATAATTATATTTAAATTGTCGATATTGGCTACACTTATAAATTGTTCCTCTAGACTCTTGTTGTGGTGTTTGTTAATTCGATATAGCATATCTTCCAGGAGTAACGTCACATCGGAAGAGGTTGATTCTCATGTTTTGTTGGTTACATCCCAGAATTGGCTTCAGGGAAGTTTTGCAGGAACCTCCTATTTTTATCAGTAAATGCAATATACAAACAACTGGGTTTTCCTGCAATAGATCCGTTCAGTAAACAAGTCCATTGAACTTGGCATGTACTTGGCCGAACATAGTTTCTACCCAAAAAACTCAAAAACACTAGCCATTTTGAAACTGGTTGAAATCTCTATCTCTGGATCTAGGTTCTGAGCTATTTTGACCATAGTTGACTAAAACTATTTGGATTTCCCAGAAGTAGATGAAGGAAGACATGTGCAGGAAAGCCCGCAATTGTCAATACTCACTGCCATGGTGAAAACCATGGTTTCCTGTAGATGTTTCCCCAACAAACCAATCCATTGAAGTCCCTATTTTCCCAATGAAAGCTGAAGTATCATCGAATTCGAATCACCATTCTTGTTGGTGAAAACCTCACATATTCCGTGAAACGGAAAAATATTAGAACATCCATGGAAATCCATGGAACATCACATCAATTTCCACCAGTATGTTGTTATAGCATGTTATAGCTAAATGGTTATGGGTCAAAACCATGGTACATTGGTAAGCATCAACATGGCTGGTTAATGGATGGTTATTCGCCCAACTATGGTAATAGGTGACCCATCCCCAAATCATGGAAATTCATGGAAGAGATTTCAACATCAGCATTCTTCATAGGTAAATCATGGGGGTTTAACCACCTCGCCCTGCGGCTTTCTCTTCAAGGCGCAGCGATGCTGGGAGTCGCCTGGATTTGTTGGCACCGATCTCGGAGAAGCAGGCGCCGACCGTTGTCGTTTTTGATGACGGGAGTTGGTCGTTTTCGATGGTGATTTCTATGGCGAAGTCTGGGTGTTTCTATCTGGTTGGTGGTTTCAAACATTTTTTATGTTCCAGAATATATGGGATATGACTAATATTTTTCAGAGGGGTTGACACCACCAACCAGCTATAAATGGAGGTACCCCAATAGCTGGATGGTTTTTGGTAGGGAAAATCCTAAGATGGATGATTTTTTGGGGTACCCCCATTTATGGAACCCCCCATATTTCGGGATTTGGACATCTCCAAGGACTATGGATTTTTGTCGTTAGATCGTCCCATGACGTATGTGGTTGGTGTTTGTGGGTTATAACCCACTTATAAATGGAATAAACCTAGGAATCGGGGACCGTTAGCTAACGGTTATTTTCACCACTTACCAAGTGGGATGGTCCTCCAGTTTTCATGGTGATTTCGTGGAGATATGGGGAGACGATGGGAATATGATAGGCATATTTGATGGGAGTATAATGGTGATCCAAGGGGGATCCTATGGGGATAGATTCCAGATATGTTGGGTATATTGACAGATCTTGATGGATATGATGGGACTATATGTTTCTTTAATGGAATAATACTATGGGATTATACTATACTGGTGATTTAACCATATGCGTGGAATATTATGAGTTCTGTGGATATAGATGATCCATTTGAACACTTTAAGATCCATGAATGGACATAATATCCATAGTTGTAGATATGTCCTTTTGCCAGCAAAACTCAGATTTTTTATTAACCAATACGTAGGGTGTACTGTATATATATATATACACGTATGTATGTATTGTATTGTATTGTAATGTATTGTATTGTATTGTATTGTATTGTAATGTAATGTAATGTAATGTAATGTATGTAATGTATGTAATGTATGTAATGTATGTAATGTATGTAATGTATGTAATGTATGTAATGTGTGTAATGTCTGCAATGTATGCAATGTATGTAATGTATGTAATGTATGTAATGTATGTAATGTATGTAATGTATGTAATGTATGTAATGTATGTAATGTATGTAATGTATGTAATGTAATGTAATGTTATGTTATGTAATGATATGTTATGTTATGTAATGTAATGTTATGGTATGGTAAGGTATGTATGTATGTATGATTTATTTCTATGTACAGTACATATATCATATATATACAATATAATATATATATATATGATATATAATATAATATAATATAATATAATAATATATATATACATACACGTGGATATACAATTGTATGCTAACCCAAGCGCCAAGCCCAGCCATGTTTGGCGTGTGACACCATCATTTTGGCTGTGTCAATCCCATCGAAATCACACCGTTTGATGTTCCATGTTTGCTAGTTCATTCCCATTTGAATCCCATTGAATCAGAATTTTTGCGAGTTAAATCCCATTGAAATCCCATGAAATCACCATGTTTACCAGTTTACACCACACGAAATCGCCATCTCCTCGAACTTCTCAGGTGGGGAAGCGCTGGACCCTGGCTCTCTCCCGGGCCATCAACAAACTCTCCTGCAGCAGGCGTCCAATGCCGTACACCTACAATGACTGGGGTAAAACATACCACCCATACAAATCGTGATGTAAGGTGACGGTGTATGAAATGCTGGTTTTAGCCATATAATTATTTGGCAGTGTGTCAAAACCTTGTACCCCTGGTGAACATCAAAATAGCTGGTAAATGGATGTTCATCCCACTAAAAATGGTATGTATAGGTATTGATCCATAGCCATATAATTATTTATAATGTTAACTTGATTTTGCTTTATAAATAGAACTGTACTGACCAGTCCGACATGTTGCAGTAAGAAAACCTGGCCATCCTCCGAAAATGCACCTTCAGCATCCTTCAGCCATGTCGACATGCTCTGAAAGAAACACGGTTCCAGTATGTTTCAGTGGAACACACAAAAAAAACACTATAATTTAGCCATATGTTTTTGTGAATGAACAAAGATGAATACCCATTGATCATTTATTTTGGTTTGAAGAGAAGGATACAAGGTTTTGACCCGTACCCAAATAGTGTGTTTTGGAAGGAACACGGTCCAATGTTTCACTTCTAAGCTGGTTTGCAAGACAAGATGTGATATATCAATACTCCCTCAAGAATTCCTGGTGGAATGGATTGAGCCTATTTCACTGGCCCCATGTACAGGGGAACAAAAATGTATCGTTGAAATATATAATGCGTTAATTGTATTATCCATGTCGCGTGCAAACAAGTAGTGATCTAAAATGGTAAGACATATCTATGGGGGTTCTTAAAATAGGGGATCCCCAATATGGATGGTTTGTAATGGAAAATCCTACTAAAATGGATGATTTGGGGGTGCCCCATTTTAGGAGACCTCCATATATTTTGTTAACCGGGGAAAATATCATAAACTGGGATGCCTCTGGGATGCTATAAAATCATTTGCGGGAAAAGAAGGTAATTACTTCAAATGATGGGTAGATAAACTATGAAATCGATTAAGCTGACTATTTTGATTTTGAATAGGATGATAAACCATGTGAATTGGGAGGCTTTCCCATGTCAAACGGGGTTTATAATTCTTCCAACAACCTCTTCCAAAACCCCAACATGCAATGATGAATCTTGAGATTTTGGGCAAAGCCATCCGCATGTCCTCCAGTGTCCCAGTGTCTACCAGGTGCCTTCGCTGCTCCCTGGTGGACTGTGACCGAGACAAAGTGATCAAGGAGGTGGACTCCCTGCGAGCGTTTCCCATCGTTTCCCCATGTTTTTTCATGTTTTTGAAGGTGGACTTCAGGAGCATCTGGAGCACCCCCTGCTTCGCCAGGTCATTTTTGGAGATTATTTATCCACCGACGGGTGTCTGGCCTTGATGAGAGATGACCAATGCAGGGAATGGAACTACCATGCTCAGCAAATCATGGTACAAGTCAGTCTAGTTATTGGTGTATATGGGGATACTACCTTTCTATGTGTTTTAATCAGAGGAATCACCTGCAGGAATAGGATGTTTCAACAGCAATAAAGTGGGTAATTATAGTGGATATGGGTGGTCGCCAGGCAGATAGCCTTTGGTAAACAAGCCTGTGGCAGCTCACAATGCCTATGTTGAACAGCTCCAATATGACATGATCCTCCAGCCCATTGAAGTGGCTATGGTAACCTAGCCTATACGATTGGCAAGTCGAAGCTGGAAAAAAGGAAACTCCTCCTAGCAGCTAGATGCATTCATAGATGTTTGGTTTACATTTAGAAATGAATTCTAGATCAAAACATATTTTGATACAAAACTGTAACATATCCATCCATAGATGAATATATGGTTGCAACATTTTGCAAACGTCTATTCTGAAACACTAGCCTTTTGATGTTTCCACTTAACACCTAGGCCGTTTCCATTGCCAGGCACTAGACCTAGAGGCTGCACATGGCTGCACCCTTTTTGAGGGCTACCAAACCGATTGATTTTGTACCATGACCATACCGTATGCCATGTAGAACTCAGAATCAAATCTTCAAATCCGTGGTTCATTGCTGGTGCGTCACTGACCCTGGTTTCCCTGCTGGCTAAGGTTGACGGTCGATGCAGAAAACTGGTTTCAGGAAGTGCAACATGAGCGATTCGTCGAGAGCGGAGTGAATACTCCAAGTTCCTCGGAAAAAAATGCGCTGTGGGCGATCGGTGATCGATGGGTAACTGGCAACTGGTGCATGGATCTTACCATGACGTTTGCCTTGATTGGGTTTAGCAAGGTTTAGCCAAATTTTCGGGAATCGGAATCATTCTGTGTAATTCACCATCCGGCTGCCCGGCTACATCTTGCAGAGTCGCCAAGACCAGGATGTAGGTCGTTTTGGTATTGCACAAGTTTCCGGGATTACCCTCTGGTAATTTAACATAACTATGGAACATCACCATTTTATAGCTGGGAAAATCAACTATTTCATACTATTTCTATGGCCATGTTCAAGTTCGCAAACTGTTAGTTTACCGGAGGGTAAATCCCATTAATATCCCATTGAATCACTATAAAATCCCATTAAATCACTATAAATCCATGAAACCTCAACTGTTTTGGTGACACTGAAGGGGCACCTTGCAGGCCGGGGCGGACAGCCGGACAGCGCCTAGGATCCAGTCCTTCCAAGAGGAGTGCGGCAAAGATTCTGTCAACGCTGTTGGAGGATCTGCTGGGGTGATCCAGCAAGCCGATCATGTGATGGGAATGAGAACTGGAATAGTATTTTTGATGAATTATTTGATGATATATGCGTATGTAATCGTATGTATGTGTATAAATTGATATAAATCAATATGATGTAATTATAGATAATTAATGATCGTATAATATTAGTTAATATTATGTTATATGTACTAGTATAATATGTACTGTAATTGTAATGCAATATCTATACACTAGTTTTTGTTGGTCAACAAAAAGTTTTCGCTGATCTAGTATGGCCCATTGGTGCTCAGCTCGATTGACTGTTGGATTTTTTTAGGAAATCATGAGGCGCCTTGATCCCCTTAGGCGTCTTGGACAACAATCGTTCCATATGATTCCCAAGATCAAGAAGTTTGCACGAATCACTGACAGAATTCTGCGGTTTCTTGCTCATTTTCGCTGTCTTCGCACCACACGATTAAATAGAAGCATTGGACACCTGGAAAATATGGGGGTAAGCATCATGAAGCTAACATCGTCCTGGATAAATTATAACAATCTCACTGCGACGTCACTGGACTGATGGTTGGTAATTCATGTAGGGGTAACTATCCCCAAACTTGTCTGAACGGTAAATTATTCGAATTCATCCAGACATATATGTCTCCTCAAAGCATTACGAACTGCGTTCAGTGAGGCTAGCGGCTAGGCTATACACAACTCTTGACCCTTGGGTCCCTTAGGTCCGGAAAAAAGTGTGACATTTTCAAATGCAGATTTTTGGGACCGGCACCACAGGACGCCAATCTGCCACACAGACTAGAGCCATGTGCTCATTTGGAGCGGCCACTGTCTGAGAAGCTTGGCTTCGACGTTGGTGTGGTTTCTCACCGACACTTGGGGATAGCATGGGTACATAAACCAAAAAAATGTCAGTTGTAATTACAAGCTGGTTTATAACTATAGGATAACTAGGGTTTATGGATGTTTATGGACATACATGGAGCGTGATGGCTTTATTTGGAATTGTGAAAAAAAGCAATCTAAAACAACTTACCTGTCTAGGGAGGCCACTTTGTAGAATTTGGTACCGGGAATTGGGGGGGCATTTCTGAGGTCCCTCCAAAACCTGCTGGGGAAACCTTGGATGGATACATATTAGTACTTCATTTTTTGTTGCAAGGGCAAAAGCTATTGAAAATGACCATTTATAGTGGATTTTCCCATTAAAAATGGTGATTTTCCATAGCTATGTGGTATATGATACATACTCACCAACTTTTTCCCCACCTGCAAGGTGAGGGTCTCTTGATTTTATCAGAGTTACTTCCTTTCGTTTTCCTTCCTCCTTCCTGCTTCCCCCAACAGCGAACTCCAGATCTCAGTGGGCACTGCCGGACCTCAACCGTGAGCTCCAGATCTCAGTGGGCACTGCCAGAATGACAGATAGAATGGCAGAATAGAATGTCAGAATAGATGCCAGATGAATGCCAAAATAGAATGCGAGATAGAATGCCAGATTAGATGCCAGATAGAATGCAAGAAAGAATGCTAACATATATAATCACATATATATATGAGCAATCGTCAAAACTCCCGAATACTGAACTATGTATTCGTTGGACATTGGTGTTCATAAAATGCAAAAAAACTGAGGTTAGCGATGGGACCTTTCCAAATAGCGATACCCCCCTCTGAGATTTGCCGGGTATATACGTCCGGGATCCTCGTGATGTTTCATCTGCGCCCCACAGATTTGGGCTCGGGGTCAGTGTCGCAAAGCACAGCTGTTGCTATGGAGTGGTCTGCAGAGAGAAGATTGCGTATGAGCGGAAATCAAATGGGTTCAGAGTACTGAAGCTTGACAGCACCAAAAACAGTTTGAGTCGATTGCTTGGGCCATGCTATCCAGGACTCACCCGCAAAGTGATAGTGGTTCTTGACGCTTATCTCCCTTCATGATTGATTTTGCTGCTTTCCTGTTTGGGCTGAGGGGTGTTTAAGCTCGGCACAAAGAGCTACTACTCGAAGACGCAAGCCTTGCTGGCCGGTATGCCGGATCACTTGGGCTCAGCGCCTGGTTCATGCAGTTTGGTGTCCGGGTTATCGAAGGTTGAATGGGTGATACTGGTCTGTAGCCGAGTTTCCTTGTTACTAACCCCAATTTATGGATGACCATCCTTCAGTATTATATACTTAATATAGGTATGCAATCTAAGTTTTGTTTCATTCCCCCATACATTTATCGAATGGCCATCGTGTTATCTCCCATAAATCGCACATTATGGTTAGCAATATCTAGAGGTTGATCGTAGCAATCCGCCTGTATGGACACGTGGCCGCGTCCTCCTGGAACAAAGGCATGCAAATCAATGAGACCCTCCTCTTCAGAGTCCCGGAGGGTGAGCAACGTCCTGCTGAGCTATGAAACCTACTTGGAGAGTAAGTACTGATACGTATGGCTAATTCATTTTCTGACCCTGTCGTTTGGTAAGAGTTCATCATATAAACATGATTATATATATTTTTATACCTTTAGGTACCTTCCGGGGCTCAAACATGGCAAGCTGAGAAATCGCTTAAAAGATGTAAGCGGGTTTTGATTGTAATGCTTGATCTGTGGATTCAGGAATGTCAACCATTTGCCATGCTTGATTACTGGAGGGTAATGCCATACTCTGGTGGTATTTGACCATCTGAACAAACTCCTACTTACCATTATCCCTTCCTATTTTATAGTTGAACCAATTTCCCTGATTGTTTCCCAATGAACCACTTAACATAACATCCTTTACTAAGTTGGTATTCGGGTGGTTCATGTGCACGGTGCCGCCCGAAAGCTGGCAATAATTCATATTTGTTTGTAGATGGGGATACTTGTTTTGTAGATATTATGGGTGTATATTAACAATATGGTGTAACATGATGAGGGTTTAGCCTGGTTTTGACATTATAACCGCATATGATGGGGATACTTGTTTTGTAGATATTATGGGTGTATATTGAAAGAGTGGGGTAGCATGATGAGGGTATCGCCGCAGAGACTTTATAACCGCATATGATGGGGATATTTGTTTTTTATATATGGTGGGTGTATTTTAACAATATCTGTTAACATGATGACGATAAAAACGCAGTGACATTAACGTAATATAATGGGGATACTTGGTTTTGTAGATATGGTGGGTGTATATTAACACAATGGGGAAACATGATGGGGAAATACTAGACATACCATCCGGCCATAAGCATGGTTTAAAGCTAAAAAAGAGCAAACCAAATCGTGACAATGAGGTGAGGAAGCGCTCCACACCCGTCGGTGCACATGGAAGTGTCAGTGCTGCTGCAGCACAAAGCCATACAACTGAGCCTGTCCCTTGGCTGCACCTGTCGTGGCAACTTGTTTCAACACAGCTAGCTAAGAACGCAACTGCGCACTGTGCGCAGTCAGATGTTTACTTCAGGCAGTTCTGACGACACCGGCTTCAAAACGACAGCGCTTGGAGGACATGACGCCCACTGACTCTGACAAGACGCAGAAACCGGTTGCTCAGCTGCAACACCACGGGCCTTCGGCCGCCACGATCCAGTGCCAAGCCATCGTTGTCAGGTTGTCAAGCTTGAAACAGCTTTGAAGAAGACCGCGGCACCTGATACTTGTGATACTTGTCCAGATTCTGAGCTTCGCTTGTTTTTTTGGAAGGGGTAACTAGCCCAGAGGTCTTCATTGCGCCAAGCTTGTCGTCACTGCAGCATGAGCATACATTGAAGTGCTTCTCGCTAGTTTGCACATAATCCGAGGATGTTGCTCCTGTTGAAAAGAACCTCGGGCAAGAGCTTCCTGGGAATGGCATTCCGCAAGATCAGCTGATCATGGTCACTGAGGATGGCGCAGCTCCGGGGAAGGAGCCAGCGCCGCCTTCGCCTGTGGCTGTGCCTGAATCTGCTGAATGCGTGGGGGTGAAGCCAGTGCAAGTGGAGCAGCAGCCGCAGCATTCGCTGGTGCCGCAGATACCCGCTGAAAGTCCTTTGAAGTTGTCACCTGAGCAGCGCCAGCGTATGGTGAAGCTCACCGCCAGCATGGGCAACCACCAGGGGAACAAGGGAAAGAAGCAGTGGGAAAAGGCTGGTGGCTGTTTTGTATGTGAGCGTGCCAAGCATAGCTGCAAGTGGGCCGTGCGTGACAAGAATGAGCTCACAGGTAGTTGGTGTTACAGTTGTGTGTTTTCTGCCTTGAAGCTGAAGGCAACCAAAAACCAAAGTGTTTTGGAAGCTTGCCCAGACATTCGCTCACTGCTGAAGAAACGCAGTGCTGAAAAAATTGCAGACTTAGCCCTGAGAGGCGAAGACTTTTGCCAATGTGTCGCTTGTCGTCGGCGCAGAGTGCCGGCAAAGAGATTGCGAAGCAAAACTTCCTTGTAACAAAGCAACACTCTGTGCCACGCTGAGTGGGGAGCTCTGCGGCGCCAACAAGATGTCTGAAAAGAGTTGCTGGTTACATGCGGAGGGCCAGGCCAGACTGTGCGCAAGATTTGTCTGGCAGCAATCAAAGTTTCAGCTAGACTTGTTTGTTTGTCCCGCAGCCATTTCACAAATGTAATCGTTATAAGTTGTAAGGCATGTGCTCGATTCTAGAAAAAAGATACCTGAATTTTAGCGATACCGTAGCGATGCCTTAGCGATACCCTAGCGATACCCCAATTTTGCCAGATGTAGAGCATCCCCAACCAGGACCTCCAGAGTAGCACACGTCACACGAAGTTCCACAACTTCCACTGCATGTCAAACATCCTTTTTGCCAATATTATACGTTAAGATGCCTCGCAGCGCAGAGGATAAGAAAGGCATTCGTTCCTTGACTCGTGCTGTGTTGCAACACAAAGAGCTTGGTCCAGAGCTTGTTGCTAAGGCTAGGCAGGCGAAGCCCGGTGTCCCTATAACCGGCAGGTCCCGAGATGAGAAAGACAATGCTGATTCATGCCTCACACGAGCGCAGAGGCTGTTTGCGGAAGAGCAGGTAGCCAAGGAACATTGGAAACAGCTTTCACGTGAGCAGCAGGTAGCCTTTTCTGAAGAACGTGGGGATCCCACCTGCCTGGGGGTAGCTTCATCTGAACCGCTTCCGATGCTTGCCTTTGCATATTGTGCTTCTCCGGTGCCACTATGTCTTTTTTATTCATATTTTTCTCTACTTTTCTTCCCCTTAGCAACCTGGGTTGCCAGGAGTTCCTCTGCCGCGGTGGAGCCTTCAGCTGTCGTGAATGATGCAGCACCAGTTCCCAGCGTAGCCAGAGAGGTTCAATCCAAACGAAGAGGCTCGACAGATACTGAGACCAACAACCCGACACAGGAAGTCAAGAAGCCACGGCTGCGACCATTGTCCGAAGTGCACCAAAAGCAACTAAACCGGCGACTCGATGCTTGCTGGGAAGTGATTGCTGGATCTGACAGTGCTGAAGATGCAATGCAACTACTGACTGCGTTGGGGAAGAAGGTAGAGCATAAATGGCCTTCTACCAAAGGCAAGCTTGCAGCCTCCTTACAATCTGGTGGAACCGGTAACTGTGCAGTCTCTGCTTCTGATGTTCTCACTGGCTTGAGTGGTTTGCTGCCTTTCCAAACTCTCAAGCTCACAGTTGCAGCAAAATCAATTCAGCAACACATAGATGCTCTGGTTCGGCAACTATGCGGATCACATGAAGTGGCACTGTCTCTTGGCTATGCGATTGGGAGATCACGGTGGCATAAAGCAGGGCAAGATTTCGAGAATGTCCAAGCTGGTGGCAGACCATCCGCAATCAACAATCTGGATGCCATTGCTTCGGTCCAGGCTGTGTTGAACAAGTACTCACAACCATCATCTAACATTTGCAAAAAGGGTGCCTTGGCAAGGAATATGTTCAACGTTTTTGCTTCACCAATTTTTCTGAATATCTCAGGGAACCCCAGACAGTGCTTCTTCGTTTCACCCTGTTTGAAGATGCATTATATGTGGTTCAGTTTGCGAAGGTAATGAATGGGTGGTTGCAAACACCTTGACAGCTGCGCCTACCAACATATACCTGGAAGATTCTAGACTATACGGGAACATGTCTGACAGCACCTTCCGCAGAATCTTAAAGCAGCACCTGACATAATATAAGAAACCGCGGCGATTGACTGACTTTTGCCAACACTGTGCGGATTTGGAACAGAAAGTACTTCCCGATTGCAGAAAGGCAATCGAATCTGCACGATCCCAATTGCTGGCCATCATGCCAGAATATTGGGCCTTGTGGGAAGAATATATGACAACAAGCAGTGTGCAGTTTGATTCGCAGCCCGCTCTTTTTCTCCAACAGATAGAGCACTACATAGATCGTCATTGCGAGACCAAGCCATGCCGAAAACATGAAGGATCCGAGTTTCCTTGCGGACTTCTGCGGCTAAGGAAGCGTGGCAGTGACTTTCCCCAAGGCCAGCGAGCCACTTTGCATGAGAAGGAAGCTGAGATTGCCCATGAATTGCGTGCATGGTTGAAGTTGTTGCGTTCTTACCTCCATCATCGTAGCTGTAAGGAGCATCAACATGAAGCACTGACTCAGCTGATGGAGTCTCCGCCTTTTGGCCATGCAGTGCTTGTCTCAGACTGGAAAGAACAGGAAACTATACCGCAGTCTTGGTGTGAGACGGGTGATATGTTTTTTGCAACTGCACGGATGGAATGCTCCGTTTTTGGCGCGATGCTTGTGGAGCATGCTGCAAATTCAACCCAAGAGCGGCCAGTTTTGATTACAACTTATTTTGTGGTTTGTTCCAGCATCTTGGACCATACCACTCTGCGAACCTGCCAACTTCTGCGCCTTGTATTGTCCAAGAAAAAATCACCCCGTCCATGGACGGCTCTCCATTTGATCTCGGACTGTGGTCCGCATTACCGGTCACTTGAAGCCTTAGGCCATGCTTTGGTGACTCTCCATCAGAATTTGGAAATTCCTGTAACTGTGCATTTTGGATGCGAGAAACACTTCAAGTCATGCATAGATCGCCTCTTTGGATGGTGCCGAGCATGCTTGAAACGATGCTTAGACAGTAAGAAAGACCTTCTCACTATTGACGACTTGTTCCAAGCACTCAAACAAGGTTTTGCTCAGAATCACAGTGCCGATGTCATTTGCATTTTGGATGAATCTCCCGTGCCGACAGAGGCGGTCATTTTGCAACCCAATGCCGATTTCAAAATTAGCCGAACCTATTGCTTATCCTGTGCGCCAAGCAGACTCCGGCCTGAACCACGTGTCTGGAACCATGTTTTCTCAACACGGCCAACTACAGTGGAGGTGGAATATACCTGTTTGACGGCTGAGCTGCCGACAGAGTGGCGCAGGGGGTTCTTTGGTGCCGGGCAAAAGGCATGGTCCAAACGTCCTCAACCCCTTGGGCCAACACAGGAAAGCAGCCTCTCAAGGAAGTACTTGTGCCAGAAGGAGCTGTTGCCTGATGCCACTTTGCGGCGTCGCAGGCTCTTACCTGACATTGGTGAAGAACTTCGTCGAAAGAAGAAACGCTTGGATCGAGCGAGGATTCGATCACAGAAGAAAAAAAGATTTGCTGGAGGCAAAGCGAAGGGATCTGCACAGCAGCTCCTCCAGCAGTTCTTCTTCAGATTCATCCAGCTCAGAGAGGTGAAAACATTGAGCTGCCACCATCTTGATGAATGTGATCGATAATTCCATATAATTACCTTAACTAAACTTAGTATTAGCGATACCCCCCTTAAACTACTATGATGGAATGATGTGCAAATTGCTACGAGACTGTGGTTAGCGATGGGACCTTTCCAAATTATGTTGATGTCTATTCGCCATACAAGGAGTTTAGACAACCGCACATATATATATATAGATATTTATATTTAATATATGCAAGAAAGTATGTCAACATACATGCCAGAAAGTATGTCAGAATAGATGCCAGATAGAAAGCCAGAAAGAATGTCAGAGCACATGCCAGGAAAAATGTCATATATATATATATACACAGTAGATCCAATATATACTTCCATATGGTATGTCAGAAACTATGTCAGAATAATGTGTCAGGGCTGGAATCACTCGAAGATTTTATTGTTATTTTTTTTTCCGGGGTATCTAAGATCTAAGGTCTACCATTTTCTGTAACCCCGATGGTTGTTGAGACCCGAGACCCACCTTGGATGATGATCCACTGGCAGTGATTGGATCTCCCAACCTTAAATCCAACAGAAGTCGATCATCATGTTCTCACTTGGTGGGTTCTATCTTGAAACTTGTTTCTGGATAGCTGATGACAACTGGAGATGTTCAATTTTGAGTCCAATCAGGTCAACAAGAACAGACCCCTCAAACCTGAGTAGGTGAATCACCATAGTATAGCCCATGCGCAATCCCTGCAACCCAAATGTTCAAAGCAAATTTGATAGAGTACTTGCTTTCACATGCCATGTGACGCTCTTGTCGAAAGATGAAGCAGGGGAGGCAATCAAGTTCTCGCCCTGGATACGAAGCATACCAGTGACAGGTGGTTTCAGGCATGTTTTTCTTCCATACGTGTGATCACCATCCCCAATGACGTTCATAGTTCTTCAGGGAAGTTAGAGCCGCCCAGCCTGGGGCTGGGGTGGGTTGCCTTGCAAGGTACTGGATCAATTCCAGCCACAACTCGTACCTGCAGGTCGGGCGGGGGCAATGCAATTTTTGACTGGAACTCGCAGGAGAGATGCTCCGATGATGATGATGATGATGATGATGCTGATGCTGATGCTGATGCTGATGATGATGATGATGATGAGGATGAGGATGAGGATGAGGATGATGATGATGGATGAGGATGATGATGATGATGATGATGAGGATGAGGATGATGATGATGATGATGATGAGGAGGAGGAGGAGGAGGACGACGACGACGAGGACGACGATGATGATGATGATGATGATGATGTTGCTGCTTCTGCTGCTGATGCTGATGCTGATCATGTTTGGTGCTTCAAAACCATTCAACTTTTCGACTTCCCTTTCTTAGATTTGTTCTTCAATTCACCTTTCTTACCCCAAATGTGATCCCGGCTGAGGGCAATCAACTCACGAGCACTTCCTCGGCTCATGCGCTGGCGTCGTTGCTGCGGAATGGCTGCCGCGTCATTGAGCTGGATGCGCCTTGGGACGACGAAAAACTGGGTTCCATAGTCATGTACCCCCAGAGCTGGAAGGTTTACCCTCTGGTAAAAAACCATAGGACAAACCACAGGAAAACCATAGGAAAATGGTGGTTTTACCCTCTGGTAAACTAACATAACTATGGAAAATCACCATTTTTAATGGGTAAATCAACTATTTCTATGGCCATTTTCAATAGCTATTTTGACATAACCAGAGGGTATAATGGAAAATGAATCTGTAAATGGATGATGACTGGGGGACTGGTTTTTTTTTCAGGAAACCTCCACTTGAGGGCTGCGATCGGGGCCCCTGTTGATAATGGGTGATTCGTTGGGGTGTATGATCCCAGTTGATCCCATATATTGGGGATGATCATATTCCCTTATGGGAATTCCACGGGAATCCTATAAATCATCAAGTAGAATCAATGGAGTGCCAGATGATTTTGAACACCGCTCAGTGCCGCTCAGTTGTCAATTAATGGGGATGATCCAATAATAATCGTTGATATGATTGGTGAATTAGGTTGGTTGATGGTTCTGGGATTTTCCATTAGGATGATCATGAGGGACAACTGGGATAACTCATGGATTCACGACTCGCAACGCCGGTTCCTGCCTGATGGCAGGAACCGGTGAAATCTCCAAATTCTGTGTTAGCGTCCACCTGGAGACGCTTTTCCGAAACAATGGAAATCCACCATTTTTCATGGCATCCATAGCGATGACTGGAAGTCCTAAAATTCCTGGGCATCTCTCTTGTTGGAAGCTGTGGTTTGTTAAAATGCCAATCTGTTCAAACTTGCAGCTTCCGATTTGTTATGTTTCTCAATATGTATATTATATATATAATTATAATATATATATATATAATTATAATATATATATATATATGTTCAATTTTGAATTGTTTGTTTTTGTGGAGGAACATCATGTCCTACTACTGAAGACTTTTTGTGGGGTATCAAAGTGCACAAAGAATAGCCATGTTATGCCATGTTCAGCTGGTGCAAGGTCTATGACGGATCGAAATATGGGATGCAAGGTGGGAGCTGGGCTGCCATTTTGAAGTTCAGTAGTTCAGTGCGGACAGCGGACGCTCTCAAACATGTTATGCTGTTTTGGAGCCATCACTTTCAAGAATGTGGCAAACATGGGGCCATGGGAAGTCTTTAAGACCACACTATGTATAGCTATGGCATTGGCTGTGGTAATGTCTTTACGCCTTTAGCATTCACAGCTATGTATGGGTCGAAGTGGCTCGAAAGCCACGAAGTTCGTTGTGATGTCATTTTACAATTTGAGACACATTTGATTACTATATAAAAAATCACATATATACACATAATATATATATATATATACTATAGATCAGATATATTATAGATCAGATATTATAGATATATCTATATTACTAATCGCTACTATATAACATACACACTGTCGTTCATGATAGATTCTGATAGCCTTAATGCCAGGCCCATGCGTCCTCCACGGGGGAACGGCCACCACGGCAGTTTCGCTCTGTGCCTGCTTGGAGGCGGGGAACGACTGGAAAATCTATGGAAAATCTATGGAAAATCTATGGCAGAACCATGGAAAACCATGGAAACGCAATGGTAACACCATGGACATGTTCAGGAAAACCATGTAAAACACAGTTTCTAAAGGGTTATTGACCGCGCTTTCAAGTCAATTTGCATTAGTATTCCTTTTAAACCAAGCCAATGATTGATGCTTCAACGCAAAGTTGGGTCAATCATTGGGATTTACTTATTGAATTTCAGCACCAAATTCTGGGTGAGTGAATGCATCTAGTTTCCTCGCAAATCATCCAAATTCGAGCTTGTTTGAAAATCATGGGAACACCCCAACAAATCTCAAATCATCACAAATCCCATAGCTAGTCATGTTAGTCATCATATATGTTAATGTTCCCCATGGGCCATGGCCATTGGGAGCCCATCCCTAACAGCTTCCCCGAAGGCCATAAAAGAAGCAGCCTTCGAAAACTCAGCGTGTCCAGTAATCATCACTCTGGAGAATTATTTGTCGCCTGATGGGCAAAGGCTGGGAACTGGTGACATGGAAGGGTGGTGACAGAAAGGGAAGGGGATTAGGAAGGATGCTGGGTGAAACATGAGGAAAGAAGCAACTCATATGAGTTTGTTGGAACATATGGTACTTCATGGTACTTCCAAAGTTGATGCTTGATCATTAGTTTCATTTAGTTTCCTTGTTGCACAGCGATTTTAGGGGTATATCCATATTTCTAGACTATATAATTCAATTTCCCTGAATTCAAGACGAAACCTTACCAATGGAGGCCCAACAATGATTTTACTCCTCTGCATTGCCCAAATGTTGGATTCCATACACAATTTTGGGGATGCATAAAAAGAACAGCCTTGCTACATAGTACTCATCACATTGGGCAGCGTAAACAACGCATGGCTGTTTCTGAAGATTAAAATACCCTAAGACAATCCAAAGCCAACGGTTCCCCCCTGTTTCTTAAATGCGCCTACTTATTGCTACAAAATTATGTATGTATTAATAATATTAATATGGTCATTTAACGTAGCTATGCAAAATTGTCATTTCCAAAAAATGGTAAATCAATGTAAATCATAAATCAGCTACTATATAGTATTTACAATAGGCTATGTTCCAAATGTGAAATAACCAGCGGCTATGAATTTCACATGTCAAAATCCATCCCGAAAAATGGGATGATCATCCCTGATGAATTTTTGTACACCTTGGGTGGTTCACTGGTTTATATATATATAACTATATATACAGTATATTATATATATACTACATCGAGGGATCTAAACATCATGTACAAAAAACTAACTATTATATAAACATATTTATATAAAAACTACCAAGTTCATGTTTTTTTTTCATGTTGTTTTCAGGATATGAATGCAAAGAAAATCATTGTTTTCATAGTTCAGATAGCCAGTTCAAGCATGACGATCGGAGGAGATGTGCCAGTCTCCTGCTGGATGTGCTGGGTGATTCACTGTATGTACCGAGCCAGCTGGGCAGGGTGGGTGAAATGACCGGTTACAGTAGTATTCCCATGATATTCTATTACTTTTTGATAAGCATCCACATTAAACGAAGCTGTATCAAGGTTTTTATCAACTCAATCAACCATGGTATTATTTTAATGGCTCATGTGATGCAATCGTCCAATGATGTACTTTCTTTGTCCGCTTATGAGGCAAGGCTGGGTACTTCAACAGAGTTTATGATAAACAATGGATGGTTGACTATGACAAGACATGGGCCAAATCGTTCAGATATGATTTCAAGTTGGTCAAAGGCTTTAGACGCCCCAAATACCTGTGGAAACAGTTCGTAATGTTTTGCTGATTGACGGAACATCAAAAGAGTCCCATAGTGACGTGTGATTGGAACATACTGACAGCCTCAGGTCCTGTTGAGTTAGGGTTTGCATACGGTCATAGATTGAAAAGACCATCCCGTCCCCTCATAATATTAAATCAGCCCAACGAGGGACCCATTTTTTATCAACAGATCATAATGATCCAATACTAAACATATTCATGTTGGATCATATTGTATTGAATTGATATATAGAATATTATAGAATGCGGCTTTTGTTGTTGATATTTCATATATTTCATCTTCATGGAAACAACAATCCCATAGGATCCATGTATGCTATATATGGTAACATGGATCCCATCAATATACCCCCTTTATGTTAGCATATATACCATACATGGATCCTATGGGAATTATTAAAAAAAACACCATCCTACACGTCTTAAAGGGGCACCTGGTCACTTGAGGTGCCGCCCCCGCAGATCTTCGAGTGGCCTCCACCGGGAGAGCTGCTGAAACGCTTTCTGTTGCGGGACAAGTGGAGCTCTCAGAGCGCTGAAATAGTGCGAAGGCTAGCTAAAAGCAGCTAAGTTAACCATGGTTTATGGAAATTCACTATGGTTCATGATGGTTTATGGATGTTTATAGAATTTTATATATGGTAGATACATATAGATATCTATATTGCTTGACATGAACATGGAGATGAGTTTGAAAAAAGTCTCCGAACCTCGACCTGAAGTGTTGACAAGAACTGCGTTTTTGGAAAGGACACCAATCCATTGTCTTTTTTTTTTTAAAATATGAGTTCAGTATAATTAAGTATGGTATATGTTCAACCGTAGTCGTCATGATCATATTGTTTCCTTTCATGGCATGATGGTCCCCAGTGACCAATCCAGAAAATCTCCGGAGATCTCGTTTGCGAAAAAGGAAAAGACCACCTTAACTAGCCAAGAGGGCTTGGTTAAAACATGTGAAAAACCATGATAAACCATCTTAAACCATGTTAAAATCATGTTGTATATGTGAAAAAACCTTGGATGGGCACTTTAACACTTGAATATTTGCTATAAATGGGAAGCATTTACTAGCAACAAAGACAGGGTATCTGAGATTGGTGCACGGATCCCGGAATTTGCTGTACCCGGTAATGTACAGACAGTATGTATGTACATATATCTGCGTAAATTATAACGACCTCACTGCGACCTCACTGGAAATCATGGTTAATAAGGGAAATCATCCCCAAATGGGCTTAATTCAGGTTAGTGAAATATTATAATTTACCCAGATAGAATGTGAATCGGATGCTGTTTTTCCAATGTTTTCGTTACCATCGGCCCACCATTTGGTCGGTCAATTCACCAGGTCTTGGCATTCTGAGGACGCTGCAACTTGGCCAAAAAGATTTCTGGTACCCGGAGATTTGGTGGGCATAAAAAAAAAACGCACCAAATGAAGAGATGAAGAAAAAGGCAACTCAAATTGTCAGAAACCAAAAAGACCGGAAAAGAGAAACATGGGAAGACAATGGGAATTTATGAATATTTATGATGGAAATTGATGGATTGATGGATTTTTTTCATAAGCGACAAGCATTTTGGTTCTGAACATGGGGTGCATCCGGGAATCGTTGGTGATCTTTTGTTGAGCAAATCCAAGGAAAAGCACGGCGCCTCTCCAGTGTCCATGCGAACGTGGCATTGGAAAATCCCTCATTATTCAGATATGTTCAGATAATCCCTCATTTATATTCACCCATAGGATCCATGGTGCTGGTATATATATGCTAACATAAAGGGGGTATATTGATGGGATCCATGTTACCATATATAGCAGCATCATGGATCCGTCATGGGTAATTTATAGATGATGTTCCCAAAAAGAAGCCGCGTTTCTTCAGAACCCGCGGCCCAGTCCCCGAAGTCCAATGCTGCGAGCCCATGCCCACGTGCGGCACGGGTGCCAGAGCTTCACAGGTGGGACCAAGATGACTCGGGAAGATTCCGGGATTACCCTCTGGTGATTTAACAGTTTGCTATGGAAAAATCACCTTTTTTTAATAGGTAAACCATCTATTTCTATGGACCAT